TAAAAAAAAAAATACAATTAATTTAATTTTAAAATAATTTCAGTATCTTACATCCATATTTTCCTTTGTTGTATATTCTTGGAATGTTTTTGAAGCACCTTGTACAGTACTTTCCAATAATTTAGCTATTTCTTCGAAATTAATTGCTGGTTTAGCAGCTGTATCTACTGGAGCTGGTTCATCAGGTTTTGGTAAAGCGAATGCAATCTTTATTTATTAGTAAAAATAAAAATATAATTATTGATTTTTGTTTAAATATATATAAAAATATATTTTCTTTTTATTTTTTAGTAATTACAAATGGAATAAAGAAAATAATGAGCTGATTTTGATAAACACTGTCTGAATTATAATGACGATAATAGAACAAATTTTAACATATACATTAGGATTCTATGATGAAAAGGAATCATACACGGTTTTGCAATACAATCCAGTTGTTGATAGCTGATCAAGAAAGATCAAATTCAGTAGCTTAAATAGAAATTTCTGGATTGAAATTAAAAATTGTATACCAGTGCTTATATAATTTAAATAAGGGATTTTGTTTTTTAAATTACTAGATTTATAAGAATTAATTTAAAAAGAATTACGTTTATTTTAAAAATTTTTTATAATTAAAATTAAACCCGAAATTTACAAATTAAATTTAAATATTTTAGATTTCTTATAGTTCATTAACAATTTTAAATATTATTTTTTAATTCATTTAAGTCAGAATTCGAATTCGCACATTATTATTTTTAAATTAATTGTATTTATGTATTTATTGAAAATTTAATTTTAATTAATGATAATGAATATTTTAAAGTCATTTCTTAAAACTCAAATATTTTTATTAATTTTTAAATAATTGATCCTCTTAATTACTTGAATTATATTTGAATTGTTTATTTGAATTTTAATTATTACAATTATATAAGTAATTGTAACATTATATTAATTAATAGCAGACAATTTTTTTAAAAATTTATTTCAAATACAATTTTGGGAAAAATCATAGATATTATTATTTTTTCAAATTCTTTCCTGTTAAATATAGCATCAAAATATTTACTTAAAAAATAATTTTTGTATTATCTAAAATTAAATTACCAAAATTTAATTCACATTATTTTATTATTATAATTTGTACTCCGGACATGTTTAATTAAAAATTTTAACTTTCTATTTCATTGCAAATTGCAATTTTTTATGAAATGATCTTCATGTATATTATTTATTTAAAGTATACTTTAAAATTTAAAATTTTAATATGAGGTTAACTAACTTATTAAATTAATTAACAATACCCAAAATTGCAATTGTAAAATTATAATATACTATATGTATATTATAATTTTACAATTGCAATTTAGCATATTATTCAATTTAATTTAAATCACCTATATTATATAAAATTTTAATAACAATAAAAAAAACAATAAATTAAAATTTTCTTATTCTTATAAAAGAAAAGCTTTTGTACAAGAATATTGTAGATCAAAAATATACAAATTTATATATTATGCTCCTACTATATTAATTAAAATATTAAAACAAACCCATTTGTAAATCTGTAAATCTCGGTTTTAATTTTCTTTAAAATATATTCAAAAATAATAAAATAAAATATCACTACATCTTATACACTACTTATTTATTGAATTTTAAATTTCTTGGAAAGTTTTAAATCCGTTTTTTATACAAGCAAAAATTTAAAGAATTTTAATCTTCAATCGTAATTTAATTGAATTGATCACATAAAATGCAATTTAATCATTTTTATTAAGATATTATACAAAATAAGTGTATAATAAAAGTGCATTTTTCTTCAATTAACCTGATTTTTATATTATATGATTTTTTTTTGTTCTACTTTTAAAAAAAATACTTACCGCAAAGAAAAGAATTATAGAAAAAATGAATAATGTAATTTTCATCATTTTGATTATTTATATTTTTTTTATTTCGAATTTATTTAACTAAATTATTGTAACAAAGGAAAATCTCAATGTCTTCACCAAAAGACTGATAGAACTCAACTAAAATATAAAAATACTTAGTTTCTTTAGTTATGAAACAAAACTTGTATATACAAAGGAAGCACAAAAAAAAAAAATCAATGATAATAGTGATAAGAGAAGTTTACCATAAAAAATATTCTACTATAATTTTATACATACATGTATTTTGTATTATAATTTTTTGTATGTACAGGTTAATAAAGTTAGAAATTTAATCAAAAACATCATAATACACTAGAATATTATAAAAGAATTCTAATTTAATTTCAGTTTCAAATTCTAGTTTTAATTTAAATTTAATTTTTGTAAAATTTTTGAATTTAGAATAATAAAATTAAGAAAATTTCTTTAATTATATTTTAATTTTAATTAAATACTTTAAAACAAATTAATCTTAAAAGCATTTACAAAATATCTACTTTTAATTATATCATAAAAATAAATATGGCACTAAACATATATATTTTGATTAGATTTAAAATGTATAACAGTATTAATACACCCTGTGTGTTTAATTATCTCAAAATTTTAAATCTTTGACCTTATCAATAGGGATACTGAAATGATCGTTTAGTTTATTTCATAAATATTCACTATCATCGCATTTTAAGAAAAAGAAAAAAAATAATATACAAAGTTTACGGCGTCATTTTCATTTTCCCTGATAATTAAACTTTTTTTTTTTTGGTTTTTTTTTTGTTATTTTATTTTCAAATTTAAAAAATAATTAATTTGTGATAAAATATTGTATTAGAATAATGAATTGTCTTATCTCGAATCAATAAAATATTATTAGTTTAAATTATTTCCTTAATTTAATGTAATTAACTTTAATATTACTTGTAATTTAATAAAATGTACAATATGCAATTAAATTTAATATTTAATATGTATAATTGGGGATCATATGATCAGAAAATAATATTCATATTCATACAATAATATCGCTTTTTTACAATTCATTGATAGATTTTGAAAATTATTCTCTTATAGAATACAAAATTTGGTTAAGAAATAGAAAAAAATACCATTGACATTATAACCAATTTATTAATATTTAAGTATAGCACCCTAAATATTTTTACAAGCATGAAAAATAAATTATCTGTAACTTCTTTTTATTAACGTAAATTATTAAAATGAGTTTACCCCTTTTTTTATGTAAATTTTAATAATATCAATAAATTATTTTGAATAATTTAAAATTCAAATCACATAGATAATAACGCAAAAATTTTGTATCAAAAATATTAAAAGTTTTTCATAATAGAATTTTCAATTTTTTTCAAATTGATAAATATTTGAGCTTTAAATGATTCGTCTATGAGAATATGGGTGATAGCTTAGAATTGTTTTTAAACAAATAATTGTATGTAAAAAGTATTTTAAAAATTATTTATATATTATAAAATTTTATGCGTATTAAATTGTTTTTTTGCAAAATTATTGAAAATTTTCAAAATATGTCAATACTCTTTTAATAATTTCTTGAAAAGAATTTTATTATTATTTTGAATATTTTAAATTACAATAACAATAATAGAATGATCCTCAAGGTTATCAACAACACTATATTAAAATAAAAATTAAAATAAATTGTATATTTATAATAATATAAAAAAAAATATATTGTCATATAATAAAATTTTGCAATAATATTAATAAGCTTTTAATAATTAAATTATTCAAAGGATCATTTATAGAGGTTTAAATATCTTAATAAATTTAAATTAAATTATAAATGTACTTGTTTATATTATTTTCTATATTATTGAACCCTTTGTTATAACTATAGAACGAATTATAATTCAGACAGTTTGAAATAATAATATAATAATATGATAATATAATAAGAATATACCTACACACTGTAAAATTTTTATATTAATTTACAAGTAGTGCTTTGCCCATAAATTTATGATTTAGCAAAAAATATAACAACAAAATTAAAATAATAATTATGAATATTAAACATCAATTAATTATTTATTATTTGTTATTACAACAAGAGAGTTGAAGAAGTATTAAAATAATGGTAATTTTTACATATAAAAAATTACCATTATTATTTTATCGCTGGCTACTTAATTTAGCTGAATCTTACTATAAAACTACATGCAGATACTCAATTACATATTTATAATAATTTACTGAATACTAAAAACATTGGGTATTTATTGTTTTACTAAGAAATTTTTAAAATTTACTATATTACAAACTATGAATCTTTTTGATATTACAAAACTAAATTTTATTTCCTGATTAAAAAATTGCTTGTGCTTCATTTTTATGTGAATGCAAACATGTAAACAATCTTATAACAAGTAGATTGCTGTAGCTAACGTAATTTTGTAGTTTTGCGTTTTCTTGAATCACCACAAAATTATTTATATTTTGCATAAATTTAGGAGAATACTAGTATACTATTAATTTTGTTTCAATTCAAATTGTTTCAAATAAAAATGAAATACAATTCAATATTAGATTGTACTAAATACAATATTGTTCACATACTAAGCAGTTATTTCAAATTACCTAATTTTATTTTGAATTAAATCAATTATCAGTTTTTAACAATGTAAAAAAATTTAATAATATTAGCATACATTTATAAGATTACAATATTTAAGAAACTAGCTTTCTGAAGCCGTAAAATGGTATTTTTAGCCTGACCTCATCTTTAAAGAAAATAAATTGTTTTACAAGTCCTTTATTCAAATAAAAATAGAACTTCTGATAATTCTAAATTTTTCATTATCGAGTAGTTGTTAATTCACTTGAAATCCACCTGGAAAAACACTTTGGAGTCGTTCTTTCTAACATTTCTTCATTCGTTCTTTCTGCAAATTTTAAAGAAATCGTATTATAAAATGTAATATAATCGAATTTAAATACAATAAAATTAATATTTTCACATAATTTTTATTAAAAATGCAATATATTATTTAATTATAACATTTATAACAGTTAAAATTTAATTTATACATAACATATAACTACAAATATAAATTTAAAAATAACACTTATTTTTTAAAATATAAACAATAAAATTATTATATTTCAAAAATTTATCAAAAATTCAATTATTTTGTTTGATAAAATAAAAAAAAAAATTGTTTTAGTTAAAACTAAAACATTTTGTTTTACAAAATCAAATTTCACAGTCTCTAATAATTTTAAATTCATCTATAGAATTTGTATTGTGGTTGAATCATTTTCATTACTATTTTTGGTTATAATTATTTTTGTATCCGATTCAATTGAACAAATATCAATTTGTTGATTTTCATTATAATTGTTTTGATTTTTTGTTGATTCAACATAATCAATATTATTACTAGAACAGCTACTATTATTGTTATTATTATTAATGTTATTACTATTGATAGCACTATTATCATTACAACTTCCATTATCATTTATGCTACCAGCTAATGCAGTTGTTGAATCTTGATCATATTTTTTATCATTACAATTTGATGTTGAATCTGATGAACCAATATTACTAACACTACTAACACTAATGCTAACATCTCCGATACTTCTTGATACCGAATCTATATTCATATTATTATCAGTACAATCAAATAATTTTTCTTTTTGGAATTTTTCATTATCTGTTTTTAATATTTCACGTGATCCATCATCATCATTATTAGATGTACTATCAAAATCAAAACGTAATCCATCACGTGATGTTGTTACATTACAACCAGTACGACATAAGGATATTGGTACAACACCATAAACATAAAACAATAATATTGGTACACCAACTGCAACTGCTAATCCTGCTAAAACTGGAGATATTACAAACTAAAACGGAAAAACAACAAAAAAAAAAAGATAAATAATTTAAATTTTTCAATTGAAATTAGACTGTTGAAGAGATTATTTATTAAAATAGAAGTGGTGTAATTTTTAAATGCAACAAATAAATATAATGCATGCGTTTAACAGCACTAAGTTTTGTTTAAATTTTTAGAAATAATTAAGATTTACTCACTGAAGCTAAAACACTAGTTGCAACCGCTAAATTTCTCTTTAATCTAGTTTCCTTAAAACATTTCAAATAAATTTTTTTTCCAATCCATACGGGAATACCAATAATCATAGCTGGTATTGCAATACCAGCAACTAATGCTATACCAACTGGAGCACCAATTAAAGTTCCTATTTGCCACATAATTTTCTTTTTTCTTGACCATGGTTTTTTACCCCAAAATGTACATCCTGAAGGACTAAAAATAAAATATTCATTTATTAGTAAAATTCTATATATAAACATAGAAAGAAAATATACCTTAAATAATGCAAATCACTTATTTCTTTCATACATAACCAACAAAATTCTGCATTACATATTGAGCATACCATATGATTACATGAACCATCATCCATTTTAACAATATATACATGACATCGTGGACATGGTTTGACATCATCTGAATTTAATTCTAATTCAGAATTTCGATGACCCAAACGATTGGACGGATTTTGTAAATTAAATTGCTGTGTATAATGATTTGTTTGTTGTTGATTTTGTTGACGTGTTGCTCTAGCAGCATCACATGTTTGATCTGGATGCCATTCTGCTTTACAATGATAACAAAATGATAAACCACAACCTGGTCTTTGACAACGTATTCGTGGGCATGATGCACAACCAGCTGCAATAACAGCATACCTAAAATTATTTTAAATTTTTGTAATAAAATTTGATTTTTAATTTTTAATATATTGTAGCTGTGTTAATTTTTAATGTAATTTATAAATTTCTTACCCACATTCTGGTGCTGGACACCATCTTGAATCTGGATCAGATAATAAATATCTTCTTATCATATAATCTTCATATTTACTTATTATTTTCTTATCATATCTTAATATCATTTCAATATCTTTCGGATGAATATATTCCGAGCATTGAGGGCAAGCTAAAATAAAAACAAAAATTTCAATTTATTTAAAATTAGTACCGAATTTAATATGAGCTTTTAGAAATTGAATGAGAACAGAACTTACCAATTGTTGTTCTAAATTCAAGTATTTCATTTTTTACATAACGTTCTAAACATCTATGACATATTTCATGTTTACATAATGATAATTCTTTAAATTCATTCGGTTGTACCGGTATTGTATAACATATCGGACAGAAATTCTTTTCAATAAACCATTTATTATTATCCTTAATTTCTTCTTCTTGTTCTTCTTTATTTTCCATTTTTTGTTGATTTCTACTAATATTCCATGACGTTGACGATGATGATGAAGATGGTGTCGATGATGATGATGATGTTGATAATAAATTGAATCCAGATGAAATTACTGATGATGATGGATCATTATTTAATATTTTTTTATTATGCTTTTTATTATTATTTGAACTAATTGTTATTCCAGTGCTTGTATTAGTTGTTAGAGGTTCTTTTGAGCTATCAAGACTTGTCTGTAAATATTTTCGAAAATAAAAATAAATAAAATTATTAGAAAAATTTTTATAAACATTTCATATTTTTTAATTTTTTTTGAATATTTCATATTTAATATTATTTTAAAGAATTAAAAATAAATAAAATGAATAATGGAATTTAAAAAATTTGAATATTTTAAAAAAAAAAGGAGCAAAAAATTTATGATAAATTAGAATAATTGAATAAAAAAATTTTGTTTAAAAATAAAAACAAAAAAAATTAATTTATCGATTTATTGTCAGTTTCCCGGTTATTTGACAAAATGATTTCGCTACCTATGGTTGTAAAATTTGGAATTTAAAAAATATTTGTAAAGAAATTCGATTACAGTTGCATTACTGAAATGGCACACATCACTGGACTTGTATTGTACCTATTGGATTATGCTTGTACCAATTTAGTCTCTATTCGAAGTGACTGTCTTCAACACAATAACAATATAAATTGTCACAAGATCTAATTTAATTTATGTTTTATTAGCACTTCTTCGGCTACGAACTTAGTGGATATAAATGTCAGGGATCTTAGCTGATTTCTGAAGAGTTCCGGATGGTTCGAATGAGGGGCGGAAAATGAGAAATTAGAAGGTGGTATCACAACGGGACGAGGTGTACTCTTCGGAAAACCGTATTAACTTAACCTAATCTAACCTATGTTTTACAATATTTTTCTATTTAAACTACATTTTGATTTAGTAAATGGCTTATTTATATGTATGCATATAAGTACATTTAACACGTTCACAAAATTTACGTTTTCTCACTAAACACATTCTCTTTTACAAAAAAAAGAATTATTGAATGGCTAGTTATACGCTCAATGTAAACTCGTTAGATGAATGATTGGCCATACACTGTAATCTCCAATGTATTCTCGTGTAGACAGGCGGCCCAAATTATGTATCAAATGTACACATTAGATTTGCTTTAATACTTCCCTTCAACTATAGATGGCAGATATATTCGAGAAATTAACAAAAACCTGTTGAATAAAAAATGTTCTACCACTTACTTTGGAATTTCATGAATGATGAAAATTTCAAAAAGCTTATAAAAAGAAAAACAAAATTCTTTCTTTTACAGTTTTTATTTATTTATTTATTTATTTTTTGTAAATAATTTTAAAATGAATATTTTGTTGGGTTTCTGGTATGCATACACACATGTATTCGATTTTAAATTCTATAATTCTTTCACGTTCTAAATTCAAATTATGTGTTTGAAACAATAAAAGAGCAATAATCGAAATGTAGTTTTTCTACTATAAATTTCGGTGAATATCAAAATTTATTTTTTTCGAATAAAATTTGCCGCAAAAAAAAATATTTATTACAAACTCTATATAAAAGTGTGAATAAAAGTTTAAACATTATTGTAAAATTGCAAGTTTTACTTGTCAACGAAAGTCAGAAACATTTAAATTACATCCTAAATAAATACCCCATAAATTCATTAAAAAATTGGAAAGAAGTATATGAACTTCTTCTAATTTATCTAAATATGTTTATTTATACCTCTACCAGAGGGCATTCATTTAAATGCAAACATCTTGTCTACTGCATTCAAAAATAAAAACTTCATGTTTTTGTGCAAGTTTGACATTAGATGTGAATTTGTGTAAACGGTTACACTTGTTCTGTGATATTTAATTCACAATATTTATAATAAAAAGTTACAAAGTAAGTATGTAATATTTAGATTATATGAAAAATTTTGTTCATAAATATTTAAAATAAAAGTTTATTTCTATGAATCTTCATCAGCGTCTTTATAATATTAATTAGAATATTTTCTAAAGCATCATGAATGAAAATATTTGTTATTTTAATAATTAATATTCGAGATATAGTAAAAATATCGAAAAATAAAATTGTCAAACTTTTACGTCAAATCTATAAAAAATTAAAATAAAAATGATTTCTATTATTACAACGCATATTATTTGCAACATTTATTCTTTAATAGTTTCATTTATTTTCTATTATATTCAATTAATTAATTGATTAATAGGTTCAAGGTATTACTTATTTTTCGCTCTAATTAAAAAACAAAATAATAAAATAATCATTTTAAAATCATTTACAACTTATTCTATATAATTGATTTTTAATTTAATCAATTCATTGTTATAATTTAATAAATTTAGATTAAGGTTTTTTTTTTATTTTACATTATTTTACATACTTATAGGTAGAATTCTCTAGATAATAAAAAATTGACCCAAAAAATCTTAAACTATAACATTCTTTTTAATTTTGAAGTAAAGGGGTTGACAATGAGACAAGAAATGATCGAAAAATGTCATAAATCTATTAATGTGAATAATAAATTAAAAAGATGATTATGAAAATATTAAGTAAGTGGAAACAAAAATTTTTCTAAATTTTTACTTAATGCATTATGGACCAAAAACAAAAACAATGTGTAAATCAAATTAAAATGACATAATCAAAATTATTATTTATTATAATTTAAATGTAGATGTCGCTTGCATATATCACTGTAATATTTAAATGCGTATGTAAAAGTTACGCAATATTTGATTTACTTTCAAAAAAATTGACAAACATTGACAAAAAAAAAATTGATTTTTATGCAAATGGTGTTTTATTTTTGCTGCGAAATTTAACTTGAACTTAAAACGTAATTTTAATATTTTCCGTTTCCATTATTCCAATATTTTTTATTGGAAAATGCAATTAAAATTTTGTTGAAAATATTTCAAGGTTGAAACCGTATGATAACCTATCTATCCAATAACAACATTTTAACATGGAATATATAATATGCTTTTGATTATTCAAATAAGTTTGTAATAAATATAAATGTGACAATTAATTACATATAGGGGAGAAAAATAATACATAGGCAGATACATATGTTAATACGTATTGTCCGATTACTTGTTATTTTAATAATATTCTAACTGAACAACTATTACTCAAGAAAACGGTAACTCTGACATCAGTGATTTATGTTACCGCTATGAAAGTTTATTCACTGGGCAAAAACATTACGAACAAAATATTGTTCTTGCTTCAACTGTTTCGAAGTTTCGAACTGTTTCGAACTATGAATATTTGACAGACAGAATTTTTTCGATCTAGTTTTTTATAATCACCTAAAACTACCATTAGTCGTTCGAGATGCCCCTATTCTTTACACGAAAAATTTGTTTTCATAAAACAACTTCAAAGAATCGCCTAATATCTTAATATAAATTTCGGACCACCCTGTAGTTATATTATAATAATATTTTCATGGCAATTAGATACATTAAAATATCAATTTTTATTCACCATAATTTTTTGAATTATACGTGACAATAATGTGACAATAATTTTAAATTTAAAGCACATACATTACTTATTTATTCGCAAATACAATTTTAGTTTTATATATTGACTTCCTATATTTTGTACAATTCACATAAATGTACGTTTTTAATGTTATTTCAAAAAAAAAATACAAATGACAATATTTACCATAAATATAATTTTAACCTTTATCTTATTATTAATAATAATAATTTATAATTTTTAATTAATAGCTTTAGAAATGATTTTCTGCTGAAATAAACGTTTCATTATTTTTTATTAACACATAAATTATGTATGTTTGTGTGTATTTTATAAAATATACGCGTCAATATTATCAATTTACCTAGCTGATTCTGCAATTCTAAGCATGTACATATTATATACATATATACACATATACATATTTACTTGCAATTGATTTTATGTGTCTGTGTTTGTTACGTTTACATGTTCTGATTGAGAATTTTGTTAAGCAAACATGTATGAAAATTGTCGTAAACGCTTATCAGTTAATAAACTATGCATTTATTTTATTGAAAGCAAAATTTATATGCAAATTGTTATACAGTCAAACACGGTCATTTGCAGTACGCATATATACAAAACTCCTTTTATACGCAATACATATTTGGCTCACATGTAATATTTCTAATTCTTCATGCTATTTGTTACATTTTTAAACGCTTATTAGCACAAAACTTTTATAAACACAAAAATTTTCGATATTTTTTTGTTTCAAACAAAGAGTTATACAAGCACAAATATTTTCACTTGACAACACTATTAATAAAAAAAAATGTTAATGAGCCATCTGGCGCGAAATATAGGAATTATTAATTTTTGCTCAATATAATAACACGTCTATAATAAGTATGTTCTTATTGTCATTCCTATTACAAATTTGACATTAAAATTTAATGTTGCCAATAGAAATAACTGCATAATACGGAACTATACACGAAAAATTCTGTCCGAAACAGTATACATATAAGCGTGTTCGACTGTACATACACGTATATTATATTGAATTTAATAACAAAAATACATACATAGGTAATAAATTTACACAAATTCTAAAATTTCAATTTCATTCTAAATGAAAATGTTATTTTTGTCAGGAATTTCGCATTTGTTGTTATTTTTTTTGTTGATAACCCAATTAACATTTTTATACATAAGTTAATAATAAAATTTATGTATGTAAGTCAAAAATAGTTTTGAAATTTTCATCTTTTATCCATATTTTTTATGGTTAACCAATGAATTTTAAAATTCATTATTAATGAACACATTCAATACACATACTATAAACATACTATACATAATTATAACCATAATTATAACATATTTTAAATATTAGATTATATTAGCATCATTTGCGGATGCTTTGGTTCACTTTTTAAAAGTGTATAACATTATAAATTAGAAAATTTAGTGCTATTATGCAGTACAGTAGCTTTTAATTTGTATACAATATTGTATGTACATAAAATTTATTTGCTGTGAACGTGTAATTAATATTTTTTAAATAACTATAAGGGTATATACTCGTACATAATATATATACATAATTTGATAACGAGCTATTAATTTTGAATTAATATCGAACGTATAACAGTTACTGAATTATCATCTAAACAAAATATAATAACAAAA